TCTCTCTCTCTCTCTCTCTCTCTCTCTCTCTCTCTCTCTCTCTCTCTCTCTCTCTGAGACACACACACACACACACACACGCGCGCGCGCGCGTGCAGAGTGCGTCTGTCAAAATCAGGAGACTGGTACGCAGAACTTAAAGCGGGGTAATTATATGCCGAAAAGAGCTCAACCGCGTGCAGTTCATACCAATTTTCCTGTTGCAAAAGGTGGAGGCAAGAAACACGATGGCGGTCGCACCATGCTGATCACAAAGGCTAACCTCGCTTAGCCTACTTAAAAAAAAAAAAATCGAAATAACGACAGAAGGTGGGACCGACTCCAATTCTATATCCGCACGATGAGTAGCATCACTACTGCCATCAAACGTGATTATATACGATTGATTCCGGACACTGTGTTTCATGCTGCGACTACTACCAAAGCAGCTGTTGTCTTCACAGAGAGTACGGGTTTACCCCCCATAAAAAGAGTCAGGAAACATCGCGCTAGTTATCGCATCGTAATATGAATGATCTCAAGAGACAGGCATGTGGAATCATCAGCTCCAAAAGAAACCGAGTAAACATTAAAAAGTTTACTGAAAGTAAGAGTAGCCGTATCAACTTCAAAAAAAAAAGAGAAAAATAAAAAAACGTATCCTCTTCACTTAAAAGCCACATGCGGTTCGTCAGACCAAGCAGATTTCTGATTAACCATGACGATGACGATTTACGGTTAGCATCACACGGTCACGAACAAAAGAGACCAACTCAGGGCATACTCACACTGCCACCTTTTCACTTATTTCTGGATGGAATTGCGGCCAGATGCACATAAGTCCGGGCGTAAATGGGTCAGCTACATTTAAGATACTGGTAGTGTGAGTACGCCCTCAATGTGCACAAAGACATGTCCTTCGGGATTCAAGGAAGCATGAATCACAAAACACTTCGCGCATTCTTGCTTGTTTGCGGTGATGCAGAGCGAGCGCTAGGAAATTGAGAAATTTCCTGTCTTACGTTTTTTTTCCAGAAACTCCCTTAAAGTCGTGCTTCGATGTCAATTGCCACCGACCGCATGTCAGGAGGGAAAACAAGAGGCATCAATCAAGACAAGACGCTCTTACGAGACCAGCAAAGTGCCCTCACTTCCTTCACTCCGTGACATTCGAGAGAGGCTGCTTCTTCTCTCTCTCTCCCTCTCTCTCTCTCTCTCTCTCTCTCTCTCTCTCTCTCTCTCTCTCTCTCTCTCTCTCTCTCTCTGTGTATATATGTATGTATATATATATATATATTGTCACATTGTGAATCAGAGCGCAAAAAAGGGAAAAGAAAAAAGGAAAAGGAATATATAAATAACACATGTGACGCACATTTTGCAATGCAATAGGAATCCAAGCAAAGATTGTCCATCCGTCTGTCTCCCTCTCTATCTCTCAAACACACAGAGACACACACATACACAAATAGGAATCGAAATAAAGAACCGTCCGTCTGTCCCTCTTTCTCTCTCTCTCAAACACACACACACACACACACACACACACACACACAAACGCACACACGCACACACACACACGCACACACGCACACACGCACACAGACAAACACACGCACACACATTTTGCAATGAAATCGGAATCAAAATAGAGATCGTCCGTCCGTCTCTCTCTCTCTCTCTCTCTCTCTCTCTCTCTCTCTCTCTCTCTCTCTCTCTCTCTCTC